ACAAACATAGATAGATACAATGTAAATTTATATTTGTCATAAATAATGTAATTTATTCTACTAAAAGGGAGATTTAAAAAAAATCAAAAAGTATCAATTACGGGTATTGGGTACTAACATGCATATCTATATGAAATGTATCTCGAAAATAGTGAATAACCTATTTACTTCCACAAAAGTTGATTTAAACTTAGGTTTCTTTTACCAATATCAACCATGAAAATGAAAAATAAATAAAACAAAAGGGAAAAAAAGGATAACTTAGAATTGAACATAACATCAAAATTTGATTATACTTATAGAAGAAAAATACATAAATATCTCAGAACTAACATTAGAAAAATAGAAATGATAACATACAAATTCGGAGATTTGCATGATTTCAGAAAGGCGCAACTCACGTCTTTAATTGTGAAATTGAAGAGAAAATTCATATTGGTTTTGGTCTGATTGCTGGTGTTGTATGACCCAAAAAATACAAAATTTATTTAGTATTTTTTAGTTGGCAAAATTTATTTTATTTTTGTCAATTTATTGAAGAGGCCATCTAAACGTATGTACATACTTTTTTTTGTCATTATTTTAATTATAAAATTATAATTATTGAAAAAGAAAAGCATAACGAGTTAACTTATTGTAAATTTTTTATTCGCACATCTATATTGTTTCACAATAATGATGGAAAGATATGATCTTCATCAAAACATTACGACAAATAAAGTTGTGCACGAAATACTACAAATACGACAACTTTTTTTTAATCATGCATCACAAGTGTTAGTTTTACTTTTTTATTGTTTTAGTGCTATATATTATATTTTAAATATTTTATTGTTATTATTTTACAGTAACTCTATCAAGGTGTATTTGTAACAAAATATGTTAAATTATGATTCTCATAAATTCAGTGCAAAATAAGTGTTGGTTATTGATCTAATCATTGATGCGATCAATGATTAAATGTATCTGGACCTAATTTGAAATTAAATGCATGCAATTCAAAATGGGGTCAATTTTGTATTTTTTTTCTTGAGTGTTTAATTTATATATTTAATTTTAATGGGCTCATATGTGTACATGTTTATTTCAATTATTCTATATCAGTTTATCTATATAATAATAATAATGTCTTCAGTTATTCACAAATGTAGAAAATTATGTAATTATCAAAACATTTTTAGGGAAAAAGTTTTCAAGAAGTGTCATTAATGTGACAAATATCAATTTTCATCGAATATCACAAATATTTTTTTAAGTTAAATTTGTTTAATTTGAAAATATTTATGAAAAATACATATGGTATTTTATAATCACAATCAGTTATATGTTGTTTTTTCTATAATTACGATTTGTGTTGTGTGATAATTATTATTTATGATTATAATGGTAGCTATGAATATAATTTATCCACTAATAATATATTTACATATAATGAATAAAATTTTCATCCTACTTTTTTTTATTATCTCTACATATATTTTATGACTAATTTGTATATATTTAAATTTTAATTTATTCACATCATTTTTTAACACCAGGCCGCGCAACGCGCGGGTCACATACTAGTCATTTTTAAGCTGAAAATCTTTTATAAACTATTATATTAAATTATACGTTCAGACAATAATATAGAAGCTATTAAATAACCAAAAATAAAAATACATAGATGGATCAGAAATAATAAATCAACGGAATAATTGCGAACTAACAGTTAAATAATTATATTTTACAATAAATATTTATAATTTGAAATTAAAATGTCAAAGTTATTATGACGAGCCGAGTTTTGTATCAATTATTTTTGCTAATCTGAAATTAGTAACATATTCATTTATTTCTATAATCCTTTAAACCCTGTTTCTCCTATATCAGCAAATAACTGGAAACAGAAGCGGAAGGAATCAGACGCGACGCAGGCACATGGCGGCCAAAAGTGCACACCCAATCCGCGCCACGCTCGAAATCATGAGCTGGACAGTTGAGTGTAGTGGGGCCCATACATAATAATAAAAAAAATACTATTTATATAGCTCACCTTTTATTCTGTCAACCACTTGCAAGTTACGCATTTTCAAGGGGCAAAATAGTCATTTTACAACGGTCGTATCTATATATATATAAAAAAAAAAGATTTGATTATTTTTTAAATAGTAATTGTTTGTATCCAAAAAAAATTATTTACTATTTTGGAAAATTAATTTAATAATTTATGGTAAATTTCAAATGCACTTATGGAAATTGCGGCTCATTATTTAAGAAAGTAACTAAGCCATATTTTAAGATACTTTGATTATTCAAATCATGTTAATTAATTAATATATGGTATAAAGTGTCTAAGGAAGTAATTAAGCCATATTTAAGATATTTTGATTACTCAAATTATGTGAATTAATTATTGTGAATTAATTAATATATAGTATAAGGTGGACAAATTTATTTTTGGTATTAATGGTTATTTCTGTGGGAAATAAATTAATCAATATATGGTATAAAGTGAGCAAATTTATTTGATGACTGTTTTTTGGTCAAATTTCAAATTTGTTTAATAATAATCAATATACCTTGTATCTTTTTCTGTAATGCACAGGCCAATATATTTGTTTTCAGGCGTGAGTTTTATTTTTATTTTATTTTTTCATATGAAATTAACATAATAAAATTACTGTAACTCCGAAAAAATAATATGAAATGTTTCGATTTCATTTTTTTAGAGAAAAATCCTGGTCAATATTTTTTTTATATAATTACTGAGTCTCGATTTAATTCATTTTTTGTTACGACATTCAAATAATTTTTTGTGTGAAATCCACTGTTCATTTATTTTTGGCATGATAAGAGTGTCGATTTTTTGTCATAAAAAATCATATGACTGATTGTTTTTACTCAACTATTTAATTTTTTTGATTTGGGTATTTTATAAAAAAAAATAAATGTATTTTAATTAATTATACAATATAAGTTTTATATTTACACTTATTCACTTAGATTTTTAAATATATGATAAAATTTTACCAAAAGTAATTATTTTATGAAATTACGTTATAGTAAAATCGAATTTCTGAATAAAAATTTTGAAATGACACATATTTTGCAACGAATATAATGTAATTTATTGTCAGTTATGTGCAGTGCACAGGTTGTAGACTAATTTTAAATAGATATTTTTATGTAATTTTGAACAATTTATATTTTGTATAACATTTTCAATAAATTAATATAGGTACATTGTATTACATATTGATTCCATGTATTTTATTTATAAATATTAATTAATGAGAATTCTTAATTTATAAATATTAATAAATATATCTTACCCGTGCATCGCACGAGAATTATAGTTATGTTTAAGAAATTACAGAATATTGTATACGACTGTTGCCACATAATACTCAGATACTGTCACGTGCAGCTTCTTAGCCCGAACCGTCAAGTGAATTAAACATAAAAAAAAAAAATGAAAATATATTATTAAGAAAGGTAAATAATTGAGTTTGTTTGCTAATTAATATTGAAATAAAATTAGAGGTGTAAGGAAGAATAAGATGTCCACCAATCCAAACCTCTAATTTTATTATTCAATAATTAATAAGTTAAAATCAATTTTGATTTTAAAGATTAATCAAAATGTAGTGTAGTATTGGAGTATCTATATATATATTTTTGTTGGCAAGGTTCATTTAAATTTATTCAGCCTTCAATTAATAATAATATGAGTTCATTTAATAAAAATAGGTTGCATTTAATAAAAAAATTTATGACCTCCATCCAAAAACCATCACAACATATTTTTTTTTCTTTTAATTTATTCCATACAATCATCCACCTATTTTGTACTATATTTTGGATTTGTAACGGTTGCATGCGATTACCATTTTTTATTTTTCTATATTTGGAGAACGTAACTGTTGCATGGTTCCGTTATATTGTTTAAACCCTTAAATTTGAATAGTTAAAAATATTTTTTTAATTTGTATATTGACTATTCACATGCAAAATAAGTATTAAATATTGATATGCAATAGATACAACGCAAAATATATATATAAGAAAATCATTTTTTGTAATAGAGATCTTTACACCAGCTCATTCAAATTCAAATTTTTTCATGCAAGATTGTACACTATATTAGTAGAATTTAATGAAAATAATTATCTATTTTATTTTATATAATAAATATAGTGATGTATTTGGATACTTTTATGATGTTCATTTATTCTAACGATAAAATTTTTAAAATGTGATACTACTATTTAACTTATAATTTTACAATTCTACTCATATACGTAACTTATAAATTATAATAATTAAAATTTCTGTGTATGTGTACAGGATCAAATACTAATTATTAATCAAGAAATATGAAGTTAATACATCCGTAATCTACATTAATGCTCTGTCTTCTCTTTCATCATTACTGCAACAATTAAATGGTTATGCAATAAAACAAGCATATTTAATTTCAACTTTTGTTTCTTTTGAAATTCAATAAAAATAGTATAATTTGACAATAAAAGACACGTATTTTTCGACTTTTACAATTAGAAGTACACTTTTAACAAACGAACTATCAAAGGCATAGGGTGTGATTGAATATGAATTTTATTAGTTTTTGTTAATTATAATTAATTTTTAAAAATATTGTATAATTAGTTGTTAGTGAAAATTTAAGTTTAAATTAAAATATTATTTAAAATAAAATAATTAAATTTGATTTATATAAAAATATGAGAAATGATTAAAAGTGATAATTAGTTAAAATTATACGAATGAACAAATAGTGAATTAAAGTTGATGTGATTGGTAAGAAATTGATATTATTTAATTATATTAATAATAATGAGGATAGTGAGTTTGGGTAAAGTTGAATTAAATTTAAATTTTAATTAATTAATTTTTTTGTTATTATTATAACCAATCACACCCTTGTGTTAGGCTTGTTATCCAAGTTGAGATAGGAAGAACAATTATGTTAATAAATATAAAATGCAACGAAAATAAAACAAAAATGGATAATACTTTAATACATTATATTTTTTAATATTTCTAATTTCCATGCATTTATGATATTCTGAAATTTAAATTTAGGGGTGCTTGTTTTGGAGCTTTCTTGTTTTGGAGCTTTCCAACACCTTGCCTTTCAAGTGACTGACACCTAACTTGAAAAATACCTTCACACCACCACGCACCACCGTGCCCCACCTCCCATCTCCACCGCACCACCACCACCGGCCCACCACCATTGGTTTTCATCTTCATCTGGTAAAGGAAAGCTCGGAAAAAACCCAAACCCATTTGGCATATTTGTTCTTTTGTGCGTATTGAATCGGAAAATCTCTGCATTTGGCAGTGGTAAGTGTTGGGGGGCTCTTTTCCGAGATGCAGGAAAGTGTGTGTGCGTGTGTGTGTGTTTATGGTCTGCTAATTGATCTTCTCTGTATTTGATTTTGAGCTTTTCTCCCCCTTTTTGTGTTTTATTCGCTGGTAAAAATATTAATGGCGTCACTGAATAACTGGTGTTTGTCTGCTTGAGGGCTTACCCAAGTTTGCTTCTTTTCGGTTTT